GTGAAGACGAAAAACCTTTAAAATCCTACGCACCTTGTGCTTTACTATTTATAAGCATTTGGATTTTTTTGAGGCGGGGATGTACAACTTGTTCAAAAGATGGAAAAATAATTTTACTTTTGACAAGAAAATATACCTAAACGCCCAAATTGAAAGTGAAATAAAAGTGAAATGTACATCACAGGAATGGGAACATTTGGAACTTTCTCAAATACCTTCTTAGGTACGAAATCTTGACACAAATTCTTAAGACAGGAGGGATTAAAAAAAAAGGCCAATTTTATGTAGAATGTAGAATCCTTCAAACCATTTTAAGCGTTGTTACTGTTGTGTATGTATTGCATACGCTGGGTCGCCGAGATTAGTACATGTACTTTACCCCAAATGTCCTTCTCCACTCTGGAAACAGAAACCACTATTTCCTACAAGTTAATTTTTCGAATTTATAATAATGATTGGATTTATATAGCGCTTTTCTAGCATAAATGCTACTCAAAGCGCTTTACAAAAAAATATACCTAGACGCCCAAATTGAAAGTGAAATAAAAGTGAAATGTAAATCACAGGAATGGGAACATTTGGAACTTTCTCAAATACCTTCTTAGGTACGGAATCTTGATTTATAAAAACATGGACATTGCAATAAGCAATACTAAATACATACGTAAAGATACGACAGAATTTACACGCGAGAATAAAAAATTTGCAACAAAGTGTATGCAAAAAGTAACTTGGATCTAAACCTGAACAGGTGCAAATTTACTCAAATGTGCAGACTTTTCATGTGAACAAATCAGTTCCTACGACAAAAATTGTACATGTATGACAATTAACATATGTGTAAAATATTCAGAAGGATGCAAATCATGTCGTATGAATCGGGTATTAGAAGAGGAATTTCATTATGTGTTAAAATGTCTTAAATATAATACACTATTACCCCACTCATACGACACGATTTGCACACCGCAGTATATTTCACACAAATGTAAATTTAGACACGTGTGTAATTTCTGTCGAATGAACTGATTCGCTCACATGCAAATAATGAGAGGTATATAACCAGGTATTTGTGCAAGATAGCAAAGGGTAGTCTTTCTTAAATATTTTTTGGGGGGGAATTTAATTTTCCAAAATTAGATCTTTCAGTGTTTCATTTTTAAAGATGATTAGAGACTAATTTAGAAATCAGAATGCAATGAAAATTTTGAATCTTTTTCATTCATTTCAAAAATATACAAAACAGATATTTGAGGAACGTTTCGTCTGACCGTAAGTGTACTTAATCATACACTGCAGATTTCCCAACATCAGTTCAAGTCAAGTCAATTAAATTTTATATATAGTCGGCATATATACATATACAGTGCAGCAGAAATAACATGAGATGAAGTAAGCTCTTTAAGCGACTTTAACATATTACACAAAGATAAAGATTAGTAAAAATAAATATTAGAGAGGGTAAGCATGTGACCGTGAACTTCTACTTCTACCTGTAACCTAGAAGTGATTTTACACGTACGCGTAGCTATCGTCGTGTTCTGTTTAACAAACTGCACGTGTACTGGTACGTGAAAAACGTCATTTCAGCAAGGCACTTGACAATTCATTTTTATCAAATAAATCTATGACTTGAAATTAAAAAAAAGATATATTGGACGTACGTAATAAATTCTCAACTTCATACCACACACCGGCTAAAAAATATATATTCTGAAGTTTGAGTTTAAGAGGCTACAAGTTTTCATCTACGTGTACTTGCGAATCTACATGTTGTGAACAACTTGTAGAATTACGCGGTATGCAAAACTAATGACGTAAATCGCATTAAATAAGGGGATCTCCCTAGCTACACGTACATGTAGACGTACACGGCCATCTGCTTAACCTCTCTATTGTTAGTAAAAGAAAAAATTTTAAATGAACCATTAAAATGGATCTTTAAGGGTAAATAACACAAACAAACTTTTTTTCAGAAATCAGCATTATTTCTCATAGATTTACATTTAAATTGACAACCTGAATAATGTTTACCAAGTAGAATGGGAGAATTTTATAATATTTTGTCATAAAGTTAAAAAATTGTGCAAAATTTTGTATGGAATTATATAGAAGGCAAAATAAAATCTCAAATCTAAGCATCAAGGAAAACCTACGATTTCTTTATATTTCAGGGATTTATTATTTATGTCATTACAAATCAAAATCAGTCAAAAAATATATATCAACCCGCGCATCCATTTTTTGTTTGTGGTAAGTACCCTTAAGGGTAAGAAAAAAGCACAAACACTAGCACCTATTTCAAAAAATAAACTAAAAATAAAGAAACAACATAAATTGCAGACGAATGATATAGATTATCACAGGTAAAGAATGATTATCACAGGTAAAAGAAATATAAAGCTCTATAGCCTACATCATTAGAACATGTACCCTTATAAGCACTGATCTTGCTGATGGAATAAATCATAATAGAGAGAAATGAAAGAAAAAGTGAGCTAGCTCACATACCCCACGCTCCCCCAAAACTTGACGGTGAAACACATAATGAAAGGCACAGCTAGGGCACTTTAAATACATAGTATAGATCAAAAAGGGCAATAACTGCAAAAAAATCTTCACATCAAAACGTCCTGCATATGAGGACATATAAATGTGGAATGAAGTTTCTAGATAAATAATGGAATCAAAATTTCTTGGCATTATACAAATCCAAACATTAATTTGAAGTGGTTGGGGGTGAGAGGGGGGGGGGTGAGAAATTTTCTTGAATAATAGGCAAAACTCTTTGGGATAAAATAATGGAATATGTCCTAAATATCTGCATAGGTTGACGAAACTATGTACAACAGTTTAAGAGGAGTGGTGCTGACAAACTGTTCATCTGTATATTCAAAATATGGCCAAAAAGTCTGAGTTGGAAAGTGCTGCAAGTCCCGGAAAAATAAAGGAATCGGAATTTCCTGGTAATATGCACATCTACATATTGTCTCCTAAATATCTGCAAAGTTTAACGAAATTCTGTGCAGCGGTTTATGAGGAGTTGTGCTGACAAACTTTTCATCTCTATGTAAAAGGTATGGCCAAAAACCTAAGTTTTTAGTGCGAAAAGTCTCGAAAAAAAATAAAGGAATCGGAATTTCCTGGTAATATGCAATCTACATTTTGTGTCCTAAATATCTGCAAAGTTTAACGAAATTCTGTGCAGCAGTTTATGAGGAGTTGCGCTGACAAACTGGCCAAAAACCTAAGTATTTAGTACGGAAAGTCCCGGAAAAAATTATGGAATCGGAATTTCCTTGTAATATGCACATCTACATATTGTGTCCTAAATACCTGCAAAGTTTGACGAAATTCTGTGCAGCGGTTTATGAAGAGTTGTGCTGACAAACTGTTCATCTCTATATTCAAGGTATGGCCAAATGCCTAAGTAAAAAAGTGCGGAAATTCCCAGAAAAAATAACGGAATCGGAGTTTCCTGGTAATATGCACATCTACACATTGTGTCCTAAATATCTGCAAAGTTTGACGAAATTCTGTGCAGCGGTTTATGAGGAGTTGCGCTGACAAACTGTTCATCTCTATATTCAAGGTATGGCCAAATGCCTAAGTTAAAAAGTGCGGAAATTCCCGGAAAAAATAATGGAATTGGAATTTCCTGGTAATATGCACATCTACACACTGTGTCCTAAATACCTGCAAAGTTTGACGAAATTCTGTGCAGCGGTTTATGAGGAGTTGCGCTGACAAAAAAAGAGGACTGACTGACTGACTGACTGACGGACTGACTGACTGACTGACTGACGGACGGGTCAAAAACATTATACCTCACGCAACTAGTTGCGTGGGGTATAATAAATAATACAAGACTGTCACAAGTAAGGACATACATAAAGCACAGTGCAGTACACAATATTTTTTCTAGCACTGACAGAAAAGAAAAACTGAACAATTAAACTACAGTTGTCCTATATTTCGCTGAAGACGCCAATCAGTAAATGGAAACAGCCAATTTTTTTTTTACATCCTCTGCTCTTCTACAATCTTTTGTGCCAGGGCAAAACCAATTTTTGTCCTTAAAGTTAATACATGTAAGCTTTGTTTTTCGTACATATCAATGGATCAGATATTTTTGTCTGCTTTCTTTAAGACATTTGAAAATTAGTCCTATTCCAAATAGTAAGAAATTGTCCTTTTCAATTCTGAATCATTCTTCTTATGTTAAAGGTTTACTTATGGTATATAAATCTCAATTTCAATATATTACGATTGTAAATATTGTAAATATTGCCTACAGTACAGCTGTATGTTTGTCTCCTAATTTCAATAAACTGAACTAGTTTCAGTTTCAGTTCTAAATCTTAACAGAGATGAAAGATGGATCTTTATTTAACATTTCCAATCTATACTAATATATGCAAAAAATGATTCATAAGTTAAATTCACACAACAATAATACATGCAAGTCCTTAAGGTCAAAATCTAGTAAATGGCTTTAGACTCAATTTTAGTGCTAGATCCAAATATTATGATGTCATAAACAATTTCAACTTTTTTTCCCGTGCTTTCCGTCTTTCGCAGAATTATGTAGAATATAGAATATTTTCATGGTATTCAAATTGAAATCATATGAAACGGAAACCCGGTACGTATATCAAATTTGATATTATTTTAAAGTAGAGATCATGAACACATACCGTTTTCTGAGATACTGTAGGGAATCTGGTTACATTTCCTTTGTTGAATATGAAAAAAACTTCCATATTCATGACCGTTTTTCTTTTTTATTGACAAAGACAGCTTAATATATGGTTTTTCATCTTGTTTTCCTAAAAAGTATGCCCCAAGACACCTTACTTGACCGAGCTTAAGTTGTAAAGCATCATTAAAGGAATTTTATTTCGAATTTGATAAATACACTGTATGTAGGTATCTTTCATTTACTAGATCTTGGCCTTAACGTCAATGATCAATGGTCAACAAAGAGTGAAAATACTTACATCTACTCCAGCGAAAAATGGTGGGCTTGACTTAGTCTTACAGGGATATCCTGTAGCCTTGAATTTCGCTCCAACTACGCAATGAATCTAGTAAAAAATAAGAAACCATTTAAAAAGGTATTGGCTACTACCTTATATAAGAAATTTTTAATATAATAAAAAGTAACAATAATTATTAAATGTTTTGTGATATAAAACCGGATGTTTGCACTCCTGATATGAACACACGCACGGCCCCTTTATTACACACCCTGTATCAGCACACTTTATTTCATCCTTTACCACACATTTTACACTTTTGTTAATCTAACAACAAGCTATATGATAAACGTGATGACTTTAACTTTTCTATCGTCAACTTCCCTTACTTATGCAGCAATATACCTTCATCACCTGCATACGGAGTATATATACAGTATATATCTCATATGATTCGATATGCAAGAGCATGCTCTACGTATGAACAATTTCTAAACCGAGGTAAGTTATTGACAAGCAAGTTGATGAAACAAGAATATCAGCAGTCTCGTTTAAAGTCATCATTTCGTAAGTTCTATGGTCGATACAATGACCATGTCAGCAAATACAATTTATCATTGAGTGAAATGCTGACTGACGTTTTTCATACCAATTGTTAGTCCAATATTTATACACTGAATTGAATTGACGGCGGAATTTTTCCGTTATTTCCTGATCATGACAAGGAGCACACGGCGGGGGTGACCGGTCAGCAGGTGATGCTCACTCCTCCATGGCACATGATCCCACCTCTGATGTTTCAGGGGTCCGTGTTTGCTCTGCTCTTATTTTGTATTGTTTTATGGACTTTGAGATTAAATACTGTTCGTTATCTCCATATCCTTTTATTTACTCCTCTCCGGAACACTTATGTATTTTTCATACGGAGTGCATGGGGTCTTTTTTTGTTAACGAATATAAAAATTTTGCATTTTGCACTCTCCGTATGAACACTCATGTTTTCATTTGAACACACATGCAGCTTAATAGCTGACGACTTGCAGTAGAAATTGGGGCATTTTTAAAGGGCTGAGCATTAAGGGAGACAAGAAGCTGGGTTAGTCAGGGGATCTTTAGTAGAAAAAGCTACAGCAGAAGAAAAGATAAGGGATGATTTTGAAAAACTGAGAGACTAACTGAAAACAACTCTTTAAGAACTAGAAATGACCATATTTCAGATACCCAGAACATCATTCTAGCAGATGGTGCTTTGCCAATGGTAAAGGGGAAATGCAATCTGCACATAAGTCTTGGTACATATGAATTTGACTTTATGGTATTGGTTACCGACATAAGTGCAGAAGGTATTCTTGGTTCAGATTTCTTCAAGCGGAACAAAGTTAATGCTTGTTAGATGTGACATTAACCAAAATGTTTATTGGAGACACAAAGCATGAGCTATTATTCTCTAAGATATTATTCTCTAAGCGATCTCTAAGACTTGTAAATCCTAAGAGAGGGTGATGTTAAGATTAATGAGTTTTTCCTTATCCCTCAAACTGTGTACAATAAATACCCTGTTGCAAATGTTAGAGTTAGATCCAGTCCAGGTAGACAAGACAGGGGACCTTCTCATTAGGTTCTAAACAAAAATATGACTTAGGCCGAACTTAACTTGCTAAGCATAAGATCAACAAGACAAAGCCTATGAAAAAATTTCTTGTAGTATGCCTCGCCATACCGCTGAATTTCGTAGTCAAGAAAGCAGAAAACATGATAGAAATTGGAAGAGTGCAGCCTTTGTCTAGCCATTGAACTGCAGGTGTCGTGATCGTTGAAAAGAAGGACGGAACAAAAAGTTTCATGTAGGTTATATATCGCTAAAAACGATAAAGGTTCATATCATTTTCAAATGAGTGACCTTGGTGTACAGACTGATGGAGGCAGTCACAAAAAAACAGTAAGGGTCATCAGAGGATACCAGAGAGAGGAAGAAAGCATCGTTGGAGAAAGAAGCACATGGGAACATGAGAAAATGACAAGACAAGTAAACACTATAGTGTTTAATACAGTGTCTGTGCGCATATTTCTGTATAATATACAAGAAGTAATGTTAAGTTAATATAAGGAAAGATATTCTAATTTTTAAAACAATGTATACGTATTTACAACATTAAAATTATCCAGCTTTCTTTGATATTATTTAGTTGAAGTTTTCAAATTGACATCTTTAAGATGTCCTTTTCGAAGGAATTTGCACATTTTCCATACTCTTCATGGTTTTGTCGAAAAAAAATACAATGCTGTATAATTAACCATGTATATATGTTTCAATGTTTATTTGCCTACTAAAAAAAGCTTTTCAAAAAAAACTTTAACTTTGGCAATCATTTGACATGCAAATGGTAACGTATTTGGCTACGCTTTCTATCGTAAAATTAAAGGGGATATTATACAATTATTGACTCTTTTTGTGTTGAATATGGTTTGTTATTCACCAGAGAATTTTCATATTGACCGAGGCGAGTCTATTTTTCTAGTGAATAACAAACCACATTCAACACCAAATGAGTCCATAATTGTTTTATTATGTAGTCCGAATTTAAACAAGAGGCCCAGGGGCCACATTGCTCACCTGAGCAATTGGCTAGGAAAAAGCACACATCAGGTCAGAAAGTTTACTGAGGGGGGAGGGGGGGCTAAATTTTAAACCCCCAGGAGGTCATGATTTGAACAAAGCTTGAATCCACACTATCTAAGCATGGCTTTAAAGTACTAGAAAAGAAGATTTTAAAAGGTTTCCCTAGATATTCCTATGTAAAACTTTTATCGGCCATTTGGCCCCACCCTACCGCCGGGGGTCATGATTTGAACAAACTTGAATCTACACTACCTGGGAATGATTCCACAGGAGTTTCATCTTTCCTGTCTCGATAGTTCTTGAGAAGAAGATTTTTTCCTATATATTCCTATGTAAAATTTTGATCGGCCATTTTGGCCCCACCCTACCCCTGGGGGTCATGTTTTGAACAAACTTGAATCTACACTTCCTGAGGATGATTCCATATGATCTTCATCTTTCCTGGCCCAGTGGTTCTTGAGAAGAAGATTTCTAAAGATTTTTCCTATATATTCCTATGTAAAACTTTGATTTGGCCATTTTGGCCCCACCCTACCCCTGGGGGTCATGATTTGAACAAACTTGAATCTACACTTCCTGAGGATGATTCCACGTGAGTTTCATCTTTCCTGGTCCACTGGTTCTTGACAAGAAGATTTGTAAATATTTTTCCTATATATTCCTATGTAAAACTTTGATCGGCCATTTTGGCCCCACCCTACCCCTGGGGGTCATGATTTGAACAAACTTGAATCTACACTACCTGAGGATGATTCCATATGATCTTCATCTTTCCTGGCCCAGTGGCTCTTGAGAAGATTTTTAAAGATTTTTCCTATATATTCCTATGTAAAACTTTGATCGGCCATTTTGGTCCCACCCTACCCCTGGGGGTCATGATTTGAACAAACTTGAATCTACACTACCTGAGGATGATTCCACATGAGTTTCATCTTTTCTGGCCCAGTGGTTCTTGAGAAGAAGATTTTTTAAAAATGCCATTATTTTTTCTCTAATTCATTATTATCTCCCCTTGGAAAAGGGCGTGGCCCTTGATTTGAACAAACTTGAATCGCCTTTACCCAAGGATACTTTGTAGCAAGTTTGGTTGAAAGTGGCCCACTGGTTCTTGAGAAGAAGATGAAAATGTGAAAAGTTTACGACGCCAACGACGACAACGACAGACAACGGACAAATTTTGATCAGAAAAGCTCACTTGAGCCTTTGGCTCAGGTGAGCTAATAAAAAAGACATGTAATGCTGTTTAACGAACATGAGTCGTTGAAAAAAATGTCCAGGTAACAGTTTGTCACCTGCGTATTTTTCTCTCAGAGTTTTGCTGTGTAAGACGTACAAATGTTTAAAAATAATCCTGCAATAGGTTTATATAATATTTTTCCTGCTCAGAAACATGTACTTAGCTCGCTGTGGCCGTTGCAACCATATATTGTTAACAACAATATGTCGATTGTGACGTCACAATGTCGCTACACGCGCAAGGACCCTTTGGTGAAGACGGCTTCAAATCCAGTGAATATGTAATGTCATGACCTGTTCGCGCTTGTATAGCTTATGTAGGGAATATAAATAGAATATATAATAATGCAAAATATTTCATTTCTAATTTATTTTCTCTTTGATAACTCTTTGAAAGTTGGCGGAGTTGATTTCTTGATAATTCTACCAGAATATAAATTAGGCAGATCAATAGGCCAGGAGCTAAGGAGGCCTAATACGCATGCAAATCCCGTGCGCATCTGTCTCTGTGTCTGACGCTAAGAAGGCCACATATGCATGTGAATCTCGTGCGGCTGCCTTTGTGTTTGACGTCAGTGGGCGAGGATTATTGAAATTAGCATTGGAATCCTCGTGTAACTTAAATCTATGTCTACAATTTTATTTCACAAAGAAATAAGTAATCGCTCTCTAGTTAGTATAGTATTCAAGGGACAACAACGATAGTGGAAAACATGGGATTACTTATGCATAACGGGCTTCATCCTTTATGCAAATTATCCCATGTTTCCCACTATCGTTGATGCCCTGGTATACTATGCCAGGGACATCAACGATAGTGGGAAACATGGGATAACTTATGCATAACGGGTCTCACCCTTTACGCAAATTATCCCATGTTTCCCACTATCGTTGATATTCGGCAAACTATACTTACTAGACAGTGATTCCTTAAATATACTCTTCCTATAGGCTGATCAACTCCTATGCTAGGTCGAAAAAGCCAAAGGTATAAAATGGAGATGCTGGCAGCTTCCGGGATTTTCAGAGAGAATCCGTCGCAGAGAACAAGATTGTGACGTCACAATCAATATCAAAGAATGTTGTAAACACTGATTACAATGGTCTGAACAAGCTGTATTTGTAAGCAAGGAATAATCAGATAAGTCCAGGATTATTTTCAAAGATTGATTGATTGATTGTATACTGTTTAAAGTCCCTCTCCAGACTATTTCACTGATATGGAGACGTCACCATTGCCGGTGAAGGGCTGCAAATTTAGGCCTATGCTCGACACTTACGGCCTTTGAGCAGGGAGGGATCTTTATCGTGCCACACCTGCTGTAACACGGGGCCTCGGTTTATACGGTCTCATCCGAAGGACCGCCCCATTTAGTCGCCTTTTACAACAACCAAGGGGATACTGAGGACCTATTCTAACCCGGATCCCCACGGGGTTATTTTCAAAGCATTTCAATGTAACGCAGCGAATAGAAAAATAAGGAAGTCATAACAAGTTGTAATCTGGATATTCTTTTTATTTATTTTTTTTTTCTACAATATAAATTCATAAATGAAAATGGAATCGTATTGCAGCATTCAATGTCGTTTTCATTCAAATTCTGATTGAATAAAAAAAAATTGAACTCTTTAGATGGTGAATATGAGTTGTTATTCACATGAAAAAAATATGAATATTGACCTCAACTTTGCGGTATCAATATTGAAATTTTCAGGTGAATAACAAACATTATTCATCACCAAAAGAGTCAATAATGGTATAACATTTCTTTTTCTATACCCTTATTTTAGACTATTTCATTGAAACAATTACTTACATCATGCTGAGAGCTATCATTTGTGTAATATTTCGAATCTGGGTAATGAATTAGGACTAGACTGAAATGCATTCATGGACTTTACTAGTGGTTCTTGGTAGAGTACTAGGGGCACTTACATAATTAAGCGTTATTTTATGTGCGATGTTGACGACGTTTCACGTTACGCTTTCATAGCGCTACGAAAAAAAATTATGCTCCTTATAGTGTTACTTGCTTGACTGCATGGTACCCCATCGCTTTCTCTTTGTACTTGAAATACGAGTTTGAAAAGTCTTAGGCTATTTATAATTGAACAGATGAATATAAAGGGTGCTTTGGATTTGTATATATTTGATAAATATTGTTAAATACTCGAAGCAGTCTTAAACGCATTTTCATGTAGTAAGATGAAGCAGAACGAATTTTACGCGTCAAGAACGTCCACTGGACAAATATGTCGAACCTCCTAAATGTTGCGTAAAATATTAATTAATGGAGTGAATTTATCAATCTGCCATTCAATCTATCCGAATCTTTAGAATAGCACATTATGAATATTCAACTATCCCTATCTGTAGTGAAACGTGAAAACGAATATAATTTGATGACTCAAAACAGGCATTGTCTTAGTTTTGCACGTCATTTTAGACGCTGGACATTTCTGTTGAACTTTTTAATCCATTTACTAGCTTCAAAGCATGCAGTTCGATATCAACATCAAAAAAATATTTCAAATATGTATGAAAAACACATTATTTTGATATAAATTGTTTCTATTTAGACTTTCTTGTAAATGAATTAATTTATTGTTGTCATACATATGCACGTTTTTTGATAAATCCGTTACATATTCTTAATGTGTAAAAAATATCGCCTTTTATTTCTTGTCTTGCCAACATTTAATGCAAAATCGTTTATAAAGTCACAAACGACATGAATTGCTCTTATTTTGTGAGGAAAATAAAAATCCTAGATTCAATTCTGAACGCTCTAAACACGAAAAATGTGCGATCTCTGCTTAAAGTTGTAACGCGTTACGCGCTTAAAATGTTTTTTATTTGCGTTTCAAACTACTACTTTTTGTAACAAAATTATTTGAATGTTAATTTCTTACCAGAATCAGGTAGTTCTTTTAAAAACCTATCCATTCATACCAAATTCACCCATATTGCGAGTAATTTTTTTTTATAAATAACCGATGAGTTTAAGATAAAGTAAAATTCTAAACTTCTAAAATGGCACCAACATCGCGCGTAGCGTCATATATACTGCAATCAACACAAGAATTGAAGAGAGGTAGAATAACAAAACTAAAATACTTTTTTCTTAAGGTAACATCTCCTTCAAATCTAATTTTACGAAGAAATAAATAAGGAAGAAGAAACGCCCTGGAAGATTGAAATTTCTGTAAAATTTTCACAATATGAAGATGTCAGGCGTCCCTACGGCGACGGACGTGATTCTCGGCGATTGACTGCGCTTCCGCGGAGTTTTCACGGCGCGTAAGGAGTTTTCACCTCGTGTTCACGGCGATCTTACTGCGCTGGCTGGGTTCACAATACGTCCTATACTCACTGATATATATTCAGAAGGAATGGAAACATTTTTGTTTTTCAAGTTACACGATGAAAAGACGTAATCATGCCAAGAAATATTCTTAATAACTAAAAATCTTTTTTCTCAATTTCATCGGTTCAGATGTGTTGTTAAATTTTCTTTGATTTTATTATGAATGTATAAAAAATAAACACACTGAAAAGTTTCTATAAAATTTAAGTGAAACAACAGAAAGAGTTCTGGTGTAATTTTCTCTTCCATTTTTTTTTTAACTTAAATGCTCCTAGTGCAACAAATACGTTGGAATTATTTCTGATCAAATATGATCCAATTGCTCTTGTTTTGTGAGCTAGCTGACAACGCTCTAACAACGCCGTAAAAGTGCATTGTGATCGCCAACGGACGCTGAAGAAACGCCATCGGAGCGCAATGTTGCCGTGTTATTGCAGTCGAAAAAATCTAAAGAAGATAAATCTCATTCCAAGCGCTGTAAATTGCGATACAAACGCAGAGACATCTCGAAGATCTCTCCGGGAGGGGAACTCTGCGTGGAAGCGCAGTCTACTATCACTGTGTTCTTGCCGCGATCATGTGCGTCTTCGCGGCGTTCGTGTGGAGCTCCCTCTACGTTGTTGGAGATCTCACCGCGCTGCTACGGCGATCATACTACGTTTCTACTGCGTTCTTATTAGACCGCGATCACACGGCGCGTACTTTGTGCATTCCCAAAGTGATCGCCGTCCCTGGCGTTCTGAGAGACCCTACGCGACTCACGGCGTTCAGTGGAGATCTCGCCGCGTTGTCAGGGCGCTGTAGGAGACTCTACTGCGATCATCTCGGCGTTTTGCATTTTTGAGGACGCCGTGCAGTCGCCGTGAGGACGCAGCCCCGGTGTGACAGGGGTTTTAGTGAAAATAATATTAGTTGCTTTCAATGTGAAGTAAGCTTAAAAAATAACTGCAAACCTTTGATCCTGCCTTTTTCTTTGCTCTAAGAAGATCACTTGCACTAAGAATCGCTGACTCCTTTTCATCTGCTGACACTGTCTGATTGCTTATTACTTCCGTGTTGTCAACATACCATGTTATATGATAGAAAAGGTTGTTTTCATTTAATAAAGAAAATTTGCAAATCATGTTCACCGTAGGTTCGTGCTTTTCGATCCGAGAGTTTTTCCCTCTAATGTCAATGTTAGTAATAAAACTCTTCCAAGTCACATTATGGTAGGCCACTGAGACTTCAGCGAGTTCACCTTCTACACCTAAAACAAGATGTTTTTGAAACACTATACTATGCGCCCGGCGGCAACAAAGTTAAAAAAACATTTTTAGCATATAGGTCACAGTCAATGTCATGAGGTCATTACCTTGATTTCACCTGAATAAACTGAATTAGTGTAATATGCATATTTTATTAAGTCTCTATCTTCAAAAGTTCAAAAGTTATGGAAAAAGTTAAAAAAAAATAATACATTTTTTGCATATAGGTCACAGTCAAGGTCACAAGGTCATTGAGCTTGGTGTCATTTGAAAGAATTTGCATACCAAATACATGGAGTCTCCATCATTCATGGTTCAAAAGATATGGCGAAGGTTAGAGTGGACAAAAGAGAGACAAACAGACAAACAGACAGGACAAAAACAATATTCGCCTCGGATCTATCTATCCGGGCGCATAAAAAGGTCGCTGTGTTTTATTTTGATTAGTAGGAAATTTTTATCTAAGAAAGTAGTTAACGAAGGAGTTTAGTTGGAGAAAAAAATGCTTTAAACTACAATATATAAAGTCAAAACTTGCTCCAAACGGACAAAATAACAACGTATTTAATCAAATATATTGAAGATATTAAGCGAAATTATGAAATATCAAAATACTAGCATTTAATGGAAATATGGAAGAAGAAATGCAGAAATGCAGATAGAATTCAAACAATTGTACTTTTCTCTCTAAAATTAGTTTCTCTGTGTTTAAAATTTTCAAATTGGTAAATATTTTTATGCTAATGAAAATACGTTGTAAAACACGTTTTGATTGGCAATGTGCTTTGTTTGAATCAGTAAAACGAGCATTCACGAGAGCGAACGCTTTTCATTTTGACATCATAATAGCGCAGCGCAAAAAACAATGCCCCGTGACTTATTTCATATAACAAAACGCAACAAAATAAGACGAAAACAACAAACTGAATGCATAGATTGCATAAGAATGGAAATTATCTTCTAATTTGGTATTTGCTTAAGTGTCGCCGGTAAAACTCAGTTTGCGACCGTTAAATTATCAGTGACGGTCGCAAATACCAAATCAGAAGACAGTTATTCCCTAATTTAAAGGTTCATATATACTTTTAAATAACTACATGGCAAGAGAAAGACTGAAAATAAAAATAAAACTTATTCAACACTATATTAATCATTCATTGAATAGAATTTTATTACCAAAATAAAACCTAGCAGCCCTATTACGTTTCTTCTTTATTTTCATCGATTATTTCATTTCATTATATACTCAACAAATAAAGAAACGCATACTGTTTTGCTCATCAAAGAAAGGACAAGGTAAAGCAACTGCTGAATCTGGCCTCCTATTCGATGTAAAAATCAAAACACAGTTAAAAGACAGATATTTTGTAGTTAAGACCTTAAATCAATGCTTGTCGTAAAACCAGCACTAATTTTAATTCAAAGCTTAAACGGTAGACACAAAAGGGAGAAGAAATAGGACGTTTTCCCGAATTTTCTCAATTCTGGTGGAATTTCGTCAAATTTGAGATACGTTTCACTTCGGAAAACTAAGCACAAATTTGCCTATCTGTGATTTTTACGCAGAAGATGCATCTGATACTTGTGTTTAAAATATATGAATTTGGTAGATAGGCAAGCTTGAGCTTTATGTTTTTTTTTTTAAGAAAATGTGCCGTAAAATTGATTAAAAGTGCATAAAAATGAGAAAATTCAGAAATTGAGATAATTTTCTGACCTTCCCGTGCCCTCTGTACATCCCATAACTTAAAACCAAAACTCATTTTGTGGCATGGGTGTTAAGTGGTTTTCAATTCATAAACTGTTGCATCATTCTGAAAGACACTCCAAACCAGGGGTCAAAAAGGGGCCTTACACTATCTTTTCCTTTGGAAAAAGTATATGGAACATTTATCTTTTCTTATATTTGGATAACTGTGACCTGTTTAAACTGAAACTTTAGATTATCATGTTTTATCTGAATACGAGTTTCTTTTTTTTTTTTTGTTGATTATGTTTCATCATCTTAAGAGTTTTATTACTGCCATAATTTATTACTATCATTTTTTTAAAACTATACTCAAATGCCGTAAAGCAAGAAACAGCAATTCACTTTGTAATTTATTTGATACTATACAGTTGTCCACTGGCATTTTGTGCAATTCTAGATCTTTCATCAACCAGAGACAGGAACAATTCCAAAGTGACATAAAAGTGATGTATATCATACTTTTTGAGTGGGATGGGACATAATATTTTTTACCACGAAACATATCTCTGAGAACCTCGTTAGTGCATGTCTGAAAATCGGGAATTTAAATTTGGCGGACAAAAAAATTCATGAAAATTTCCCTAGGAGTTGAAGCACAAATTTGAGAATTTCCTTTCTTCTAGAAGTTGTTTTATGAATAAATATCATCATAAATACAATAACAAAAAAATATTAACAGTAAATATTTGCATGGTAAAATGTTCCACGTGTTGTTTAATCATTCTTGAAGGTAAGATTAGAGTTTAAAGTTCATACGTACATGTTCTGTTCTTTTCTGTAAAGAAAGTGAATAAGCAAATCAAAATTTCAACAATGTTAATATACTCAATAAAAAAGGATAATGATTAATAGAAGAAAATATGCATTCCCCGATCATTACGATTTACTTTGTGAGATATGAAATTTAAAATCCATGTTACCGTACCAAAACAGTAAGCAGAATTGCAAAGTGCAAGAGGTGTCAGTTCATACACAGAGTAAAGTCCGCAGTTCTTCACACGGATGGTATGGGATCGTTCACATGTTAAACCAAATCCAACTTGACACACCTTGACTGAAGCCATGGAACCGACTTCAGGCAATGACCCTTTGAAAATCATCATTAACCAATTAGTCTTTTTGCCATTAAACATGCTTATTGTATAAAATATTTTCTTTGAATAAATCGTATGATCTTGGTCAGGTCTTATGAACATTTGCTTGAACCACACTCATTTGAATCAGAGATTTCTTAAAAGACAATATTATGTTACGTTGGATCCTTTCCACCAAAATAAGATTTATGTTTTTTTGCAAATTAATGTTTTTAGAAAACCTTTTTTTTTAATTCTTAAAGAGTGTGACACCAAAAGTAACAATATTCCTATCTTAGTCTTATGTACTTTTTATGTTTTTTAAATTAATACCGCACTAGTAGTATAAACCGTCTAGGTAGGTCACTGAGTGCACGTTTGCCCCTGAGGGATAGGGGGTCAATCTCCCTGAGGAGGGGGGTCAACAGAGTGCACCCCCATGAGGGGGATAGGCGTATAAGGCGTGATATCCTTGTGAGATCCTAATTTTGGCAGCGATTCAAATCCTGATTATGACGTTATCCTAGTGTTTCACTGCCTCGCTGGCTGCTTATTTTTGACACTTTAAAACACAGCTGATCGGCAGCTGATTGAAAGAAAAACAAGTCCTTAAAGTTCTTTTCATTTAAATATAATACAAAGTCAATTTTTCTTCTTTAGTTTTATCAGGGACTTTCTGGCCTCTCCCCATGTGTTTTCTTCGGAATGATTTCCTTTATATTTACATAATGGACAACTTCTGTAGCAGGCCACTATTAAATTCGATCTCCATACCTTCCTTACAGCAAGGGTAATGTCGGCATTGTTGACATTTACAGCTCCCGTCCGTATTTTCCTGACAGCAGATCAGGCATTCATTTAAGGGTCATTTCCTGGTCTCTCTAATCTATCTGGGGGGCATTATGTTCTCAGCCCCGTACTTCCATGTGAAATACTTCACACACCAGCTACAGGCACAGGTGTCCATGGAAGGCTCATCATCTACAAACCAGTGAAGAAAAGGCTTTTACAATACTTGCAAATTCTGTGAGTTCTGTGATGCCATCCTGGAGAGTCATACACCATAAATGTACACACTTCAATTTTTTCCGTATCACAGTAATGACAAATTAACTTCAAATCTCCACATTGAAACACTGAACTCAAGAGAGGATATTTTCCGCACTTTTTTAATACAGAACAGAACCAGAATTACGTGGGACCTTATCCACCAGCAGCTCACTATAATCCAAACGACAAGACTATCAGTGGACGATTTTCTGACTGCATGGTACCATCAGCAGGCCAGGAAAGTGTTTGATTTCCTAAAGGAATTTAAAGAGTATTGAATCTCGGACGTCGATATTTTGAGATAAGCTTGTGTTCAGTTTAGAGCCACCCTCAAGAGCTTAATTCATATGTATCGACCCCGTTCCTAGGTTAAGGACTTCCCAAGGTATATCAGTCTGTGCAGAGCTTCGGGTAATCGATTATGACGTCACGGTGAAACTGCACACATAAATATCGATCGGTGAAGAAAAAATAATTTTCTTTTTCTTACACTTTTATATACAGTAGTTTCTCCTAAACATAAATTATTGTGCAACTTATCTTGTCATTACAACACTATTTGAATGTAACATTAAAGCCAATTTGATCTCGTAATACTGACAGACATGACGTCATAGACTTGTTTGACACGCAGTTCTTCTGCGCTTGAGACATAGATCAAGATATTATTGCAACTTGTAAATGTGAAATATAAAAATAAACAAGTTGCTGTCCTTTAAAAAAGGACTACAATACGTGGACCATATGCATCTTTTTTTTCTAACTGAAATTCAATTAAGAGAATTTCTAGGTGTAGGGAATATTCATGTAGGTTTGTTCACTTTTTCTACAATGATCTGCCTACTTATATCTGATTGTAGTCTCAAAGCAAAATTGTGAAATTTTATCTCCGATTAGCGACCTTTAGTTTTGTCAGTTTAAAAAATCGGGTTATTTTGCTACGTGTAACTCATACCGACTTGGACTATTCTGGATTTATACGGAAGAAATTTATCATGAAAAATAGAAATCTGATGGTTTACGAGAACCACAGCTCTGTAGTACGCAGATTTTTTTTTTGCCGTAGCCCCCCCCCCCCCCACACACACACATTAAAAGCCGTTGCTACAGACCTTTATCAAACGATATTTTGTTTGCTGAAACACTAAATTATTTTGCAAGCCTTGATGCACAAAACTAATGCCGGCGAAAACTTGCTCTATCTTTTAAAAGCTAGTCTATCTCTATTCGATGAATGACGTTTTTCATTCAGATTTTTAAGTTACTGTATAACTTCTTAAGGTACCCATTGTACAAATGGGTAAAAATTTATGCCTGGAAACCCTATGAATTTATGTTCTAAAATCAAAGTATGGGTCATGACAAATTTCAAAAAATTGGGTCATCAGGGGCTACAACTCATTTAAGGAAGATAACTCTTGATGAAAACTAAAATATAAGGAAAATCAAAGAAATTGGTATCTAACAAGTTTATTCCATAAAAATGACACAAAAATTACTTTTATATTGTAATCTTTAAATAAAATTAAAGAATAATAAATAACAAAACATAGTAAGAGTGTTATTTAAGAAAAAAAATTAACAGGTGACAAAATGGTCATTTTGTTAATATAAAAATATAAAATATGTTCGTAATGTCATTTGCAACATGCTGTTACCATGTAGACTTGCTCAAGTCTCTATGTTTTTATTGTTTATTTTTTATAAATAGTTTTAAAAATTCTGTATTCTTATTTGTATTGCTGTCCTCTGCTCTCTGTCATAGTTAAATGTTATCAAATGTTTGACATTATCAAAAAGTATGAAAGAGAGCACTAAAACATAGAGACTTGAGCAAGTCTAGTTACCATGGAACATTAACATTTTTATTAAAGGGAAATATTTATAAATACATTAGAAAAGTCAAAACTTTTCCCTTAAATTATTTCAACCCTCCTTTTTTTTTTTTTACTTATTTTCAAGTCAAAAAATAATGAATATCATACTGTAAATATATCACATTTGGCTGTGTATTCTTTTTAGTGCTTTTGGCGGAAACTTCCATTCATTCAAGTACAATGCTAAATGTTTTGCAATTATACACATTGATAAGAACATTAAGTTATCCGCTAAATCATATCTATGCTAACTTGTTCAAAAATCAATTTCCGCCAAATAGCGTACATGCTAAATATAATACATTTACAGTAACTCAATGTACAAAATTGATTAATATAAATGAAAATGGTTTGAAATTCTGCAAATAATGTGAATTTATAATTCTGTCTAGAATTTAAAAATGTACACAAAAGAATAAAAATTTTTCAAAGAAATGCTGAGGTTAAAAATTTATAGCAACAGTAAATTGTATCAAAGCAGAGTGATAAACATTTGATACAGACTTTGAAAATGAATTTCCAGATTTAATGACACAATAAATAGTACTTGTGATATAAAATAATGTAGATACTATAAGGACTTCGACAGTAATCTCATTAGGTATGTGTGATACTAGTAGATGATCCATAATACAGACCAACTTGTTTAGGTACAATTGATAAATACATGTGGCAGCAAAAAATTCATACAACTTTTGGACAAAATTTTGTACAACTTTAGATATTCCAGTCACTTTAGGTTTGCCATCACTGGTTTTCGGAGAAAACATGAATTAATTTATTTCACCATCCCTGTCATAGCCATAGATCAGCTTTAGATGAGAAAATGTCATGGTCTCTGCCAGACTCCTCTTCATAAAACTTTACCAATCAGCACACACAAATACCCCTAGTTCTTTGATTTTTCAGCATTGAACACCTGTTGAAACTGAGAAATACTATACAGATGATTGTTTCATACAATATACATGTGATTCATTGAAAGTTTGCAGCAGAGATTATTCCGTCTAACTTTCATGATAACATATAGTCTACTGCTGCAGTCAAATATTTTTCTTAATTCTTACATTGATTCCCAAGCAAATTGAAAGATAAACATTTGATTTAAGAGCGACCAAATTTATATATGTATCCTGCAAATACCCCTTGCATTGATCTAATAAAGGTAACCTAATAAGCTTTATCCGGTCACTTCCCCAATAAAGCCTCGTGCATGTATTCCGACGTGCCAAAAGCATTGTGACGTCAATTATACTGCAATGTTTACGCAGTGGCGTCATAGTTTCAACTGCAGAGATGTGCCTATATCTGTCGGAATTAGCTAGTTTTGGACGCTCAAATGTAAAATTTTGTTGCAGGATAAACAAAATACATGATAACTGTCTTGAAATATAAGCGATATTTGGGCTCGGGTAAAAAACGTAAGAGGGCTCGGCAAGCCTCGGCCTCTATTACGTTTCCTAACCCTTGCCCAAATATCACTCATATTTCAAGACAGTAACCATGTATTTTATGTGTATCTACCAAATTATATAATAAAACTGTTCATACCTTCAAAATTCTTTCATGTATTGATAATAAATTTAATATTGACAACAAGTTGTTTATCTTCTGAGGGTCTCCCAAACAGTACTGTAGACTATAGCTACAAAAAGAGTAGATACAAATTATATTACATGCAATTGTTGAGATGCATGAACATGTAAATCCTATTCTTAATTATATGCTTTATGCAACATTTCATGGTTTCAGATAAAAATTTATATGTGATGAATATTTAATACTAGTTGTCAATGCCTAAATTTGATAACATAAATTCTATAAACAAATATAAATATAAATGCTTACCTGTTGCAATCTGTGTATTAGTACTGAAATATACTGCATCCCTTTGGACAGTTGTTGGGTTTTCTCAGCTTTTGCCGTTTTGGGAACATCGATGCCAGCTGCAAGCAATTTCCGCACTGCATGTATAAAAACCAGCTAACCCGAGTTTCACTCATATTCGCTCTCTCGCTTAATAATAATGGTCCGGAGTGACATTTTGAGCACAATATGAGGACTCTGACCAGAACAATGAACATCAA